ATGAGGAATATCGTGAACGTAGATGAGGTATAGGAGTGGTGCAAGTATGGAGCCTTGGGGGACTCCACTGAGAGAAGAAAAGGGTTCTGATAAGGAGAGGTCTACTTTAATACGTATTTCTCTCCTCAGCAGATAGGATTCTAGGATGCGTATGAAATGGTGGTGAAGGTTGATGTTAAGGAGTTTCTGGATTAGGCCTGGGTGCCAGACTTTGTCAAAGGCTTTTTGGACATCGAGGAAGATGGCTAGGGTGGCGTGACCTTCGTTGATTGCTTGAGTGGCGTGTGTGTGTATTTCGTGTAGTGAGTTTTGGGTTTCATGATTAGGTTGGAAGCTGTGTTGATAGGGTTGTATTATGTTGTTAGTTTGTGTGAATTCGACGAGTCTGGATTTTAGGATTAGTTCTAGGATCTTGCCAAGGCAGCTGATCAAGGATATAGGTCTGTAGGAGTCAGGGATTTGTGGATTTTTACCAGGTTTTAGGATGAGGATTGTATTTGCGCGTTTCCATGCAGTGGGGAAATGGGCGTATGTGAGGTATGCGTTGAGGATTTTTGCCAGAAGGGCGTGGGTGGATTCTGAGAGTTGTCTTAGTGTTTTTCTGTTTATCGCGTCGGGACCGGGTGCTGCGTTCTTGCCAGTGTGAATGGTTGTGTGGATATCGTGTGAAGTGATTGGATTTAGGATTGGGCATTCAGGATTTAGAGGGATGGGTCCTGGGTGGTGATTAAGAAATTGATTTATGTGCGTAATTGTGTTTATTTGGAAGTAGTTATCGAAATTTGGATGGTTTGGGGTTTGAAAAGTTGATTCTAGGTGGTTTTTGAAAATCACGGCTTTTTGATCGGTTGTGGCGTGGATTTGGTTATTATGAATTGGGTGAGAGTGGGTGTTTTTATTTTGTTCAGTTAATCTTTCAAAAGTTTTCCAATAACCTGCTCCATCCCTGTAATCGAGGTTGGCGGTGACTTTTATCCAAAGTTTTTCTTTATGTTTATTCATTTTCAATCTAATTGTAGAAATTAGTCTATTCCATTCGGCTTTTAGGATAGGGTCGTGGGTTTGTGTGTACGGTCGAAATAGTCTACGTTTTTGTTTTATGAGGTTTTGGATATTAGGAGGGAGTGTATGATAATCGGTTTTTATGGTAGTGAGGGGAACTGTGGCGTCGATGGCGTCTGTAATTGTGGATTCTGAAGACCTTAGAGCAATACAATGGTTAGCCTCAAAATCAAAAAGTTGAGATATTACGGTTTAAAGTTTTCAAAAATTCTGTAAAAAATAGTTTTGATTAAAAGATTTCAAACTTTGTCAGTACCTTATGTCAAAGAGGGAGAAAGATGAGCAACTCTTATTTAAAAAAAAACATTTTTTTTTTACAAAAAATGGAGTTTATTTTGGAAAAAATGTGGCTTAACATGTTTCTGCTTAAACTAAACTCATCATAAAAATAACTGAAAAAATACAATACTACTCATCAAGGATTTCAATCTCTTCGTCTAAATTGTCAACAGCAACATTTAGTTGCGTATAAAATGCATGGTAGGCTGGCGGTATGTAAGGCAATAATAAGTAAGACAACTGTACGTTCCTGCGAGTTCTAAGTTCTGCTTGTCAGGAAAACGTGCTTTCTTGTTGATATTGGCAAGTAAAGGCTCAAAAGAAAAAAAATCTTCTTGGGTCATTTTTGTAACAACAAAAGGTTTTTTTTTTATTTGCTTTCTCAATGATATCTAGCCAACCTTCTGGTGAATAAATAACTGGAGCCCGATGTCTCTGTCGTTTTTCGATTAGAGCAAAATCTCTGTCTGACGGCATAACGGAATGTCCGCTAACAAGAAAGTGATGGGTTATTTTTTTAAATTTTTCTTCTTTCACCAACTGCAACCAAAATGCCATCATCTGCCAGTTCTTATTCTGAGCTGGGCAGTAAAAATAACAAATTCATCATAATCTGATTTCATTTGTAAAAATTTCATTAGGACAGACGTCACTTCATCAGCTCCGCGCTTAGCCTGATCTTCAGTCCACAAATACATGAAACCTTTTTTATTTGTGCAATCGTGAATTCCAAGGTTATACAGCCATATCTTGCGGCAGTAAAATGCTGGACCAGTTGTGAGCTTTGGAAGGGGCATATTTTGTTGCAAATCAAAAGAGATTACTAATTTTTTATTAGCTGGTGTGTCCATTTCACTTTTAAGCAAATTTTGCATTCCGTCAGCTCTAGCCTGGTGCAGGTTCAAAAATGTAGTTAGCTCTTTTTCTAGCTCTATATTATCAGCTTCCTTTGCCGCCTTTATTTTAATACCCGTCTCATCGCAGGTCTTGCAGGTATCCTATATTATATTGGGTACAGAATATTTTTCTGTAAGCGCTCTCTTTAACTGGACTGATTTTTTTGTTTCCTACACCAGGGCACATAGAAATCTGTATACAGTCCAGTAATGGTCATATCGCAGTCCAGATATACCTTATCTATATTTTTGGTTCTGCTGTAGTGGCTTTGATATCTAGGTATTGATTCAATATGAGTTTTTACAGATTGAATTTGTTCGTCCGAATATCTATTGGGTCTAGTATTGTGTTTGCCACGCATATCAGGTTTAGGAACCATAGCCCCTTCTACCTTCATTTTAAGAATCCTTTCAACTCTTCCCCGAGATTTCTGAAGACCGTGAACACTCAAGAATTCAGTTTTGCATATTTTTATTCCTTCGTCTCCTATATTAACCAAATAATCAGCAGTGAACTTTCTTCTGGAAACATTATTCTTTTGTTTTTTCTTGTATGACCTTTTCTTGTTTTTTGCTCTTATACAACCAAAAAGATAACTATTTTGGAGATCGAATGAACCCAAATCCCAAAATTTTGTGAACAATTGTTCATGGTTACCTTGCAATTTCTCCCTGCATTTATTTTTACAGTCACAAGGCAAACCAATTTCACGCGGATTGATAATCTTCTTAGTTTTTGTCGCCGTATATTGATGTCCTGAATTGCGTCTCCTTTTTCTTTTGTTTCGTTCATGGTTCCCTTTATTCCGATGTCTCCATCTTGTCGGTTTCGGTTCCTCTGGAGACTCCTCTTTACCCCTGCTGAGCCTAGCACAATGCTCTGGCGATTCATCCTAAAACATAATAAAATGAGACTTAAAATGCAACATAAAAAAAAAGTTTACGCAGTAACATGTAAAGCCACATGGCATACCATGTTCTTGCATAAATTAGTTACAAAATATTTTTACATAAGAACATGGTAAGCCAAAAAAAAAGAAAATGTAGCCTACCTCTGTAGAATCCGACGATATATCATCGCTACTTGGTACAAAGTCTTTGTCGGCACAACTGTCATCACTATCCTCAAAAAATCAGAACTTGAACCGCTATTTCCACTAAAAACGGCCCTCAAATGAGTACGTGTACCGAAGGTCGACGCCATTGTGATATGGCTTACCACGTTTTACGCGAAAAAATGACGAAATTTGGCTGCCTGCAACAACACGATGCAGCGATCGCTCCGCCATCTATTGCCTTATAGTCGAATTATTTTTTTGTGGCTTAACATAGTTTTCGCTGAGTGATTTATGCAGTAAAACAGGTTTCTGCCAAAGTTTGGCTTATCATTGTATTGCTCTAAGGTCTTCAAGTGTATTTATTGCGTTATCTATTTGGACTGAGGATTCGAGTGGGGGGTTAAGTGGAAGGTTTTGTGAAATGAGGGTTCTGAATTGGTTCCAGTCAGCTTTTTTGAAATTTGGGAAGTTATGGTATCTGATGGTTTTGGGATTGGGTTCATTAGCTGAGAGTGACAAAGGAGAGGAAAGTGGTCTGAGGAGATGGATTTCCCGATGTGACACTCACCCTCGAGCATCTTTATGCATCTTTCGGTGCATATGATATGATCGATGATAGATGACCCACCGTATGAAAAAAAGGTGTAGTTTCGGTTTGGGATTCTATGGATGGGAAGTTCGAGTAGGTGGTTCGTGAGGAGTACTCCATTTCGATTTCCCGCGTGGTCTCCGAACTGCGGATGCCTGGCGTTGAAATCGCCAAGGAGTATCCCTCTTTGGAGTGAGGATAGGTATCTGATGAGGGAACGGGATAGGGTTTGGGTCGAATGGTTGTAATATGTTATAATGGTTATGTTATGATTTGGGGTGTGAAGGTCGATGGCTTGGATATCTAGGTCTTGTAGGTGAGGTGAGAGTTTATGTGGTGTGTGGGGTATGCCGTGTCTTACGAGGAAGCCGATGCCTCTTGATGTTTCATTTTTAGGTGTGTGTATTGTGTTATATCCAGTAAAGCTGAGGGGATGTTTTTGAAGGGTGTCTGTTAGGGCTAGAATTTGAATGTTTTGATTAATCAGGAGGTTTTCAAGGAGATGTCTTTTTCGGGTGAGGCCCTGGCAGTTTACGGTACCGATTATGAAGTTTGCTGTCATTGCTGTTCGTTTTTTAAGATTTGATTTCATTTTGCTTTTTGTTATTTTTATTCTGAAATTTTGTTGAAGAAAAACTTCACCTGGCCTCCCGAGCATGTACATATGCAGGTGTGTCCAAATAGGACCTGCATATTTTTGTTCAGACTTGTGAGTATCAGTTGGCGTCTTTCCGGCAAGGTATTGATTAATACAATTGTGTTTAGCATAATTCTGGATTTTGTGGCTTCGGTAAGCTCTGGGAGGATTGGGAGGGGGGTTAGGACTACTGGGGCAACTTCCGATGGGGTTTGGGGGGGGGTCAGCCCTTTTGGGGCATTTGAGGGAAAAGGAGGGGTGATCTCCGTTGCAATTTTTGCATTTAGGATTTTGGATTTTTGGGCATTGTTGGGGTTGATGTTGATCGCCGCAATGAGGACATGAAATTCGGTTTTTACATTCCTCTAGGGAATGTCCGTTTTCCGCGCATCTGCTGCAATATTTTGGGATAGGAGGGATAGGGTTGGGATTGGATGGTTCAACCTGGAATTTCATTCCGAAGAATGAAATACGTAAGTTTAGGGCCTGATTAGGGTGGTGGGTTGGTTGGTGGCCCGAGAAGTGATTCTCCAAAATTCAATCGTTGGGAAATTAATTTCTTTGAAGGATTCTTCCAGATCCTCCTTGGTGATGTCTTTGTGGACACCCTTGATCACCATAGAAAACGTGGGATTCCTTGTGGTTTGCGGTTTTTTATTCGGAAGGTTTCTAGGATTTAGGAGGATTACGCGGATTGAGTTTTCTCCGGTTGCGCTCTTGAGTTTTGTTTCAAGTTGGGATTGCGTTACATTGGAGGTTGTTTTAAGTAGTGCCGTTTGATTAAGGTTGGCTTTTAAAAATAAGATTTGATTTCTTAGGATTTCATGAGAATTAAGGAGGTTGTAAAGTTCTTTCTGGAATCTGTATTTGCTTGGGAGGGATCTTAGGTTGAAGGTTTGTTGTGTGTAGGTGTTGGTGTTGTTGGAGGAGGAAGTGGGAAGGGGGTTGGGGGTGCTGGTGTTGTTGTTTGTTTTAAGAGGGGAGGAAAAATCGAGAGTTTTGGTGATTTTATGCAGCATTGTTGCGTCTGCATAGGAAGTATTAGACTCTAACGAGTCGTCGTTACTTAAGATTGGTGAAGGGGGAGTTTGGGGATGTGGGGTAGAGGAGGTGGAACGTGTTGCCATCCGCGGAGGGATTAGGTTTTTATGTTTGTCAGTAGGCATTGTGGTGAATAGCGAGTTAATGAGTGATGAAGTATAGAAAATTTAAACAATTGGGACAATTATCCAATCTACTTACCCCCTTCACTGATCACTCGTCACATTCACTGCACTTTACTGTCACTTTCGCTTTTATCGCTGTTCGTAGTTTTGGCACAAGTTCACTCTGCTGTTTCTACCTGGGAATAGTTTGGGTCAGGGACTAATCCTTTAGGTATCGACTCTGCTAAGCTCGCCGGTACACTGTGTGACGGATGGCAGTTGTTCGGCCGTTTATATATGAGATCCCTTGGAAGGCTTTGGTCGAGAAGGTTCTCGAATGATCTTCCGTCTCCATATTTTTGTTCTAGAAGCTTCTTAGAACAAAGGCTCTCTCTCTAATTGTTCCATTGATTGTTTCCAGAACATTCCAGAATCTTCTGTCACGTTATTTGTCACTGCGGCATATATTGAGTGTTCGGAAATATGCTGGTGTATGTAGGAATCATTGGGAGGTTGGAGAACAATCTGGGATGCGTGTTACAGGATGATCGTTGTACTCCTGTCTTACTGATGATGTTTCTAGAGCCCCTCTATAAATATCATTACATTAGTATCAATTTCTGGTTTGATATTCTCCATTGAATCACAATTTAATGAATGATCAGGATAGGTCTTAGTTGAATATTTTTCACTTTTCAGAATGACATAGTGAATATGCTTACATATGGATATAAAAATCAACACATGGTGCAGAGTGAATACAAATGTTGCACATTTGACACAATAACTGGCAGCATGCATTACTCAGAATTTTTTTTTACTTCATAACAATGTGTTGAAAAAACTGAAGATATTTTTTTCACAAACGGTCATCTGAAATGTGCAACATGAAGCAGTTTTATGTCGTGAATTGATCTCTCTAGTATGATATGTGTTCTTACCCTTAACGTGTTTTATTATTCTATCCACAATCTGATCTCTGACGAATATGTTCAAGGCATATAGTCCTTTGTCCAATCTTTTCACTTTCTTCGCATCCAGGTACAAATAGTTTATAGTTTTATGCATAGCCTCAAGTCTCATATTCGTATCGATTCCCAAGTTTTTGCGGTAACAATATGCCCATTTTTTATATATAATAATAATAATAATAATAATAATAATAATAATATTCATTCACACACATAAATGTACATAAATCTACATAGAGTAGGTATTCTGACAGACAGTGAACAAACAATTAATAGGTGAATAAACGATACTCAAAAAGTGACCGAACACTTGTTTCGAGAATGATTACAGAGAGAAAAAATGAAAATATCGTATATAATAATAATAATAATAATAAGCAGGTTAGGTTGGGTTTATGGTATTGACAAATAATTATCGAAATTTTCAATACATTTATGTGAATATTTCATAAATTAGATGAAGATATAATATTGTGAAGATAAAAGGATGAAACACGAATGAAAATAAATAAATAAAACTATCAAACTAGTGGCATAGTATAAACGCTATATATATGTATATTGTTTACTAAAAGTGTTGAAAGTATGATTCTCATCTTGGATTGTCATTTTGATTGTTCAATTCAATTCAATTTTCGATTACATATGATTGAGTAGTTGTTCTTGAAATAAACTCCAAAATTTATAGTTGCTTTGTCATTGAACAATTCATTTGAAAAACTTGAAAGAAGTTTGTGAAATTCTTCTATATCCATAGTGGTTTGAATAACTTTTGATGACTGGTATACAATTTTTCGTTTCTCCATATCAATTATTTTGTTCAAATTAGTTTGCCAAGCCCGGTCAATATGCCAATCACAAAATAATTGATTGGGTACTGCTCCCATTACATCAAAATAGGCATTATAAAGAACATCGGTTATATCAGTCATAAATGTCTGTGGCTTCAACAAAATATGCAATTTTAGATTTAATAGATTCAAAAAAGATCCGAAAAACTGCAGGAAAACCTTCTCCCCAATCATCTACTACAAGAAGTGTGCTCAACTCAAAATCATAGGAATTCAGGCCATGTGTACTATCAATGGCTATGATATCATGGCCAAAACGTCGGAGCATGTCTTCTTGTGATATGTTCATTAAAATTATTAAAAAATCCCCTTTTCTGAAAACTTCATGCTCTACTCCTTATGCTTTGTACAGAAGTATAGGGTTATTGTCCAACTGCTGACATTCTTGAACTAAGTCTACACTAACTGCATCTTCTGAATGACGTACACCGTCCAAAATTTGAATGTTGTGAGAACTTTTAATGTTGTGGACATCTTTTCTTGTTAATAAATCACTTCTCGTCAATGTTTCTTCATTGAAGTTTTCTCTAGTAAGATCCGAAATTCTAAAAGTAAATGATTAAATCAAAAATTATATGAAAAAAGCAAATAAATGAAAAAAATACTTCGATATGAGCACACCACTTGCCAATTTTCCAGCAACAATGGCTTTGTCATCTTTTGGAATGCGCAAATGTTCTAATCCTATTTCATGTCCATAGTGAGTTTTGTAGTAGAATGCTGTAAGTACCTACAATTTTTTCCTCTCACTATAACTTTAATCTGGGTCGTACAGGGTGGGCAAAATTGGGCGTTTTCACCGTCTATCTCAATAACTAGAGGTGTTATCGAAACACCGATATACATGTTCCGGGTTCGATTTTGTAGAAACCTCGAATGGTACAATATCGATATCTTCATTCGTTTTAGAGATACAGGGGGAAATTGAAAATTTGCCGATTTCGATTCTATTTTCTGACTACTTTACGGTGAGAGATATCAAAAAATTTCAAACGTATATTTATACAGTATGATGCGTGGAATCCATTGGCATCATCAGAAATTTTATACAGGGTGACGTTGAGAAAATACGGCAGCCAATTATGTTTTTTCTAATGGAACACCCCGTATATTTTGACACAGTTGAATAGTCCCAGGCGTTCTCATTATAAATATATATATAACCCTACCTTTTCCTTCCACAATTTCAGATATATTCGCAAAAATATATTCAGTGTGTCACATTTCTTATGGTTACACCTCCGTATCTTCTGTAAGAATAATTGATGGAAACAATCCTAATATTTTGTGGCAGAATGCCTGAATATGATACTTCACCCATTATTTCTAGTATGCCTTGATATTTTTGCGTTCAAAGAGATAATAAATAAGATATATATTTGAAATTGAAACGGGAACTTTCCAGCTCTGCCAAAATATACGGGGTGTTCCATAAAAAAAAATGTTCTGTATCTGGAATTTGGACATCTTCTATAAGGCTATATTTTTCAACGCAACCTACTGATTTCCTAATTGAGTGAATTATTGGTCTTATTTCTGTATCTCAAATGTCTTGATAACAATGATATCAAATCGAATAATTTCCCATTTTATTTCTCACCAAATATCCATTTATCTGGAAATTACATTCCCTATGATATTTATTTTCCACATTTGGTGAATATATACAGAGTGTCATTTTCAACCTCGATTCTGCCTGTTGATAGTATTATCCAGAAATATCGATGATTCCATAGCTGCTGGCGAGCAGTGTTATCATTGGAGATGATCCCACTTGGTCCATGACTCCATGAGTGTATCATTTGTATCTTTCTGACAGTTGCGAATTTTTGAATCCTACCTCAATTATTTTTACAGAAGATACGGGGGTGTAACCATAAGAAATGTGACACACTGAATATATTTTTGCGAATATATCTGAAATTGTGGAAGAAAAAGGTAGGTTTATATATATATTTATAATGAGAACGCCTGGGACTATTCAACTGTGCCAAAATATACGAGGTGTTCCATTAGAAAAAACATAATTGGCTGCCGTATCTTTTCAACGTCACCCTGTATAAAATTTCTGATGATGCCAATGGATTCCACGCATCATACTGTATAAATATACGTTCGAAATTTTTTGACTCCTCTCACCGTAAAGTAGTCAGAAAATAAAATCGAAATCGGCAAATTTTCACATTCCCCTGTATCTCTAAAACGAATGGAGATATCGAAATTTTGATTGTGCCATTCGAGGTTTCTCCAAAATCGAACCCAGAACATATATATCGGTTTTTCGATAACTCCTCTAGTTATTGAGATAGACGGTGAAAACGCCCAATTTCGCCCACCCTGTACAAGCATAATCAATTTTGTCAGAACCCTGATATTTTTCTCATTCTTTTAGGAGAATGTTGAATTTTGCGAGGTTTTCCTGAAAAAAAAAATCACAATTTGAATGTGATGTAGAAAATTATTGAAATGGCGATCCTGGTGATTTTGTTAAATGGGGTTGAAGCACATTTAGTTAAGAAACTTTACAAACCACTTCTGTCGCAGTTGAAATAAATAGTCGGAGGCTGCTTTCACATGCATCCGTTTCCACGGATCCGTTGGATCATGTGATGAATATTGACCAATAGAAATCGACACGGATGAGTCGGCAATCGCAACGTACCCAGTTGGCTCAACATTAAGTTTCCTCCGTTAAATTTGTCCGTGATGAGAAGAAAGCTAGGTTAAGTAAATATTTTAATTTTTTCGATTTTTTCTAAACCGTCGACAACTCATAAACTTTGTCGGATGTGTTCGTAGTTTATCTATGGATGTGTTCTAAATGCCTCAAAAGGCATGTTTCATGACTAATTTCTGAAACTCTAGAAATCTCAACACGAAAAAGATATGAAATAGAAGTCATACTGTCACCAGATGCCAAATAACGAAGCGTAATTTCTAAACTGGTTCTTGGTTGTTTTTCAAGTGTAGTCTCGAAGAGTCCGAGCGAAAAATGCAACATATCAGGCGACATTCTAAAATTATTGAAAAAGTGTTCATAGCCGTTTTCCTCCATTAATGCTCTAGCCAAATATTCACTTGCGTCATGAAATCTTCTAGAATTGTGTGTGAAGAAAGGTCCAAAAAAATCTACGATTTTTCTTTCAACATTCTGCATCTCTCCATAATAAATCGAATATATAAAAAATTTTAACTTTTCTCTTTATTATTTTGGAAAGCAGTAGGAGTATAATTCAGTGGATGTCGATGTAATATATCAGACATTCCTGAGTAATATAGTTTCATCAGTGGAAAAAATATCTCCAATCGAAAAATACTGCAGAACTAATAATAAAAACTGGATAGATGGAGACATAAGAGATGCTCAAAGAGAACGAGACAGACTCTATAAGATATTCAAATACACAAATAATGCAATAGACTATGCAAACTACAAAAGAAAGAGAAATGGAGTGGTGAAGTTATCAAGAGAAAAAGAGAAAACCTATTACGAGAACCATATAGACATGTGTTGTAATGACAGTAAAAAAATGTGGAAAACTCTCAAAGAAATGGTGAATAAAAAAACCAATGAAGTAGATCTTACTGAAATTAATTTTGATAACGATGACAACATTCCAATAGCTGATAAAATGAATACCTATTTTTTAGACAGTGTAAATGAAATAGCTGAAACAATACCTGAACCTGAAACAGATTTCGAATCAGAAATTTATCCAGTTCAATCAACTATCGAGGTTTTTTCGACGATATCTCTGAATGAGCTGAAGAAAGTAATTTCTGGACTGAAAAATAAATCTTCGGGAGATCATATAATAACAATTGAACTTATGATCTATTCTGTGTAATTGGGTATCTACTTCTATATCTGGTGAATACTTCTCTTCAAACTGGCAAGATGCCAAGAGAACTGAAATGCAGCTTGATCGTACCTATACCAAAAGTTGGATGTCCAAAAAAACCTGAAGATCTCCGGCCTATAAATCTATTGCCGGTTGTAGAGAAGGTGATAAAAATAGTTGTCTGTGAGGAGCTGAGCTGTTACTTGAGGCAAAATGAAATTCTATACGTTGGAAAATCAGGATTCCGAGAAAACCACTCTTGCGAAACAGCATGTCAATATGTTTTTGTGAACAGTATGGAATGAAGGGTGTCGTGTTGAAATGGTTAAGATACTATATCTTGAAGACCGAAAAAGTTGGGACTGAATATGGGGTGCCTCAAGGCAGTGTATTGGGTCCGCTAGTGTTCATTTTGTATATAAACGATTTAGGCAATGCTTTACAAAATTCTTTTGTCAATATGTTTGCTGACGATACAGTGATTTCGATATGTGGAAAAATCATGAGGAAGTAGTTATTCAAATGAATCAGAACTCAAAGAATTAAGTAACTGGTTGAAATATGATAGGTTGAAGCTTAATGTAAAGAAAACGAAATGTATGGTTCTGGGCTCAAAAAATAACTGTAAGTCATTCTCAAACGAAAACCACGTTATTCGTATAGAACAGGAAGTGATTGACTTTGTGCAGAAGATTAAGTACTTAGGGGTACAAGTAGATTCATATTTGAACTTTGAACCTCAAGTGCATAATATTTGTAGAAAATTAGGGAAAAAAATTGGATATTATGGAAGAATATCTAGAAAACTAACATTTTGGGCAAGAAGAGTAGGTAGTATATAACACCATTATTTATCCACATTTTCAATATTGTATGTCTTTACTTACCTCTTGTACAAAAAGTGATATACAGAGAATTCAAAAGCTGCAAAATGAGTGTATGAGAATATTACTCCAATGTGATAGACACACAAAGATTACAGATATTCTTAGGATGCTGAAATTTATAAATGTTGAACAAATGATCGAAGAATCAAATTTAGTACTGATATACAAGATCATGAACAAACATGCTCCTATGTATCTGCAATCTTTCCTTGTGAAAAGATCGGAAATGCATAGATATAACGTCAGGTCAAGAAAAAATTTCCATATAGCAAGATGTCATTCGAATGTTCTACAAAAATCTCTTTTCGTCCAGGGATTGCATCATTTCAACAGCCTTCCACTTATTGTCAAAGTTGCACCAAATATAAAAATTTTCAAGAATATGTTACGAAAAGTTTACTTTAAGATTTAGTATAGTTTATACGTATAGTTAATAGTTATTTCAAGAATTTATACTTTGTGAATATGTTTATAATTGTAAAAAAATATGATGAGGAAACTAGCGAAAGCTAAATAAATCTTTCAAATCGAATCAAATCAAATTTTCTGCTCCCATATTGTTTTATTTCTTAGAGATATTTGCGCAAAACAGGGATAATAACGGAGCTCACGGAACCATTCCATCGGGACCCAAACTTGTGTACGTAAATCAAGCAAACGTAGATCCGTGAAAACGGATGCATGTGAAAGCAGCCTCAGTCCCACATTTTCTTGATCTTTCGCCTGCCACATGGTTGTGTCTATTCTTCATTGGGGTTGAGAGGCGGTGAGTCGCGTTTTCACGACCGACTCACACTTACGCACGCCCCTTACTGACCACGTACCACGTTACGACCGTTCTTGTTTCATATTTTTCTATTCAGTTGATTTAACTCTCGCGGGCTACCTAAATTGCCTACGCGGTCGACCTCTTGGCCATACCTGGTTTAGAGCAACCACAGAGTAGCCCTATTTTTCTTGGTGCTATTTCAACTTCTTTTGTGTTGATGAAACTGTGGCCTAGATTCCTTGCGGTCTGGCGTATGATCATTTATTTAGTTCGCTGGATTTTTTTTTCCATCTGCTGGCCGCTGCTTTCTCTAGAGTTGCAAGGGCACCTCGAGAAGTTTCTGGTGGCAAGTTATTGTCCTGAAATGACGATTTGCATTTAGGCCAATACACACACGGGATTCGTGACAGTTTTACCCGTACGTGATTACCTGACAGCTTTCACGAACTCCGTCAAAGCCCACACAACTTCGGGAATCACTAGACAGTTTTGATCGTACGTAGTTAACGGCACAGTTCTTGTCGAACCGTATTTAATAATAAATAATAAATAAAAATCCGCGATCTCAGAAAAATAAGTTTCATTATAATCGTGTAAACGTACTTGTTTTGTATTTCATATACAAAGAAGAATCAATTAATATGGTATCGAAACGTGTTTTGTGTTCACTTAGAATTACATTGGTACTACAAAAGAAAAAATATAAAAGACAACGTTCAAGATCGGTGAAACAATGGTTGTTGCAAAGAAGTAAATATTCTCATATAAATCTCCTAAATGAGTTGAAGCTAGATCCTCTCGATTGGAAAAATCATTTGAGGATGGATGAGGATAGCTATAATGAACTTTTAAATTTGATAAGTCCTTTCATTCTGAAAAAAGATACAGTAATGAGGCAATGTATTTCTCCGCATGAACGTCTGACTGCAACTCTGAGGTTTTTGGCGACAGGAAGAAGTTACGAAGACTTGAAATTTTCCACAATTATATCGCCCCAAGCCCTTGGAAAAATTATCCCTGAAACTTGCGGAGCAATAATAAAAGGGCTCCGAGATTATATGAGGGTACGTGTAATATTTAGTATACAAAAAATTGAGCAATCAGAAGTCAAAATTTTCAAAAAACTACAAGTAGGATGAAACACAGATTTTTTATTTTATAGCAAAACATTTAAACAACAAATTTATGAAGTTTCATGTATTAGGCGAGAATTGCTCATAGTATGATCCTAAACGACCTAAAGTTTCACTTTGATCGTAAATAGGGTTTACAAGAGTTGACTCTGCTACCCGAGAAGACGGCTGCATCAGATGAAGTTGACTGTTCTGGAATCCGTTAAATTCATGTTGGTATACCGGTGAATATTTCCCAACTGGGCTTCAAACAGTATGTCTGTGATAAGTTTATCCACTACGATAACTGTTTCAGCTGGCAATTTTCTCAATTTTTTACTTATATTTGTGCCCATAATAGAAAATTCATCATGTGAGTTTTCTGGTTTATCTAACTGTACCGAAACTTTCTTCAGTATTTGGTCGTAGCTATCACCTTGCCGTTTTTTGCAGCGTTTCATCTCAGAAGTAGAAGCAGTGGTTACAGGTGTTTTTGTTCCAATAACAGTAGCAGTGGCGTCACGCCCCTCCACTCTTAAGATAACCAATGACAAATAAGTTTTGACAACGCTGAAAATTCAAGGTCATGCTGCCGAAAGTTCGAGTCCTTTGAACTTTTTGCAGTAAAATGTAGCGTCGTTAGTCGTTAGCATTTCAAACCTTCATAAATTCTCAAATAGTTAGGTTATATATCAACAAAAATATTATTAACACAAACAATGGAAAATGTAAAATATTTGATAAATGGGATTGAGGTTGAGCTACGACTGAAGAAAAATAGTTTGGAATCAAGGAAATTACAAGCTGGTAAGTATGAATATAATTTGAGAATAGAATATTTGATATCTCATATTCCAATTAACCTCCAGGTACAGACCAAGAATTTATAATTCAGTACTTTCTTGAATTAATAAGAAATGGAGAATTAGAAGAACATGGATTCAATAGAGAACATGATTCTCAAGGAGTATTTGTTGAAAAGTCTCTGGAGAATGATGATATGATATGATGATAATAAGTGAAACAGTTGAGGAACATACAGTGGACATAATGGAGCAGCTGATTTCACTGGTGGAGCAGCATCCTCCATTGTACAATTTCCAATTACCATTGGCAGAACGTTCAAAAACAATAAAAGACATGCTTTGGAAAGATATATATGAAGCTATGGGAGGCTGCATTACACTACAAGAACTTCCAAAGAAATGGAAAGCATTGAGAGATCGATACCTGAGACTGAAGGGAAAGAAGCAGCCATCAGGCTCTGGTGCAACAGCAGATCATTATTGGAAATATTATAAACAGATGGATTTTGTTGACCTGGCAGCTGAAACTCAGGAAACAACATCTAGTATCCCACCAGATCCTACAACCCCTACCAGCATACCCCAATCAAGTCTATCATAAAAAAAAAGAAGCACAATGAAGAGAATGATGACAGATTTTTCAAAGCCATTGAAAATATCAACAAATCCAATTTGGATGAAGTGGATCATTTTGCATTGAGACTATCAAGTGGTTTAAGAAGATTGCCAGCTGAGACTAGAAGCAAGCTTGAAATCAATTTTTCACAGCAACTACATGATGCTGAATTCAACAGTTTTTAGTGATATTATTTCATATGTTAAGTGTATTTACCTATAGTAGTTCAGCTTTCAGATCTCAGAATTAAATAATTCCGTTTCTTATTTGAAGATTTATTTCTGTTTGAAAAATGATGTTATTCCTGGATTTTTTTTAGTATTTGAATGTATCAACTTAAGGACATTAAAGGTTTCAACCATTATATGAGTATTTATTTTTAATTTCACCCTCTAACTTGAAAATTGAATCAATATTCATAAAATAGTGGATTTATGGAAAAGGCCAGATGAGATACTAAACAACAGCTTAATTCAAACTTCCAATATTTATTGCTGAATTTATAAAGAAACATTTTCAAGTAGTTATTTATTTATACTTTTCCACTGCCACTCAACTATTCCTTCCTCCATGAAGTAATCTGTGGATTCTTTTCTGTGAGCTGCTGCAACTCCAGTATAATTTCGTGTACCAATAGTTCTTATATCTTTCAATCCTGTGGAAACAGTGTTCCTCCAATCCCCTGGTCTTAATGTCCCATCAAGTGATTCATTATCAATCAAAGTAGGTGGAGCATAACAACAGGATCCACTTTTCACTTCTTCACTTTTTATATAATTATGCAAACACACTGTTGCCTTGATAATACTATTCACAGTATTGGGGTGAGCAATTATTGGCTTGCGAAAAATTCTCCACCTGGAAACCCATATGTCAAATGTGTTTTCAATTGTTCTTCTACACCTACTCAGGCGATAATTATAAACTTGTTGTTCAATGGTCAACTCATTTCCAGGGTAAGGGCGCATCATGTACTGGCTCAAAGAAAATGCTTGATCTCCTACCAGTACATATGGTAACTGTCTGCCTTGACTAGAAGCCTCTGCTATTGGAGGAATATTGAGTGTATTATTTTCAAGTCTTTGTCCTATCACAGATTTTCTGAAAATTCCTCCATCACTGTTACGACCCTCAAAACCACATTCAAAGTGGATGAAGTTGTAATATGCATCACAAATTGCTAAGACTACAATAGAATGAGTTTTTTTTATAGTTGAAATAAGTTGAACCAGAGTTTGGTGGTGCCTGTAATAGAAAACAAAGTCTGTATAACTATTAAAGGATTGATAAGAAAGTTTCAACTCACCTGTACAACTACATGTTTCCCATCAATAGAACCAATGGAATGGGGAAATTGCCATTCTTGTAAAAAATTCAGAGCAATTCTCTTCCAGAAAGGCTCAGATGGGTTTTGGCAAAAAACAATGCCTTTCAAGATCTTCCATATTGCATCACAAGTCTCCTTTATAATTCTAGATACTGTACTCACACCAACACGGAACAAGTATGAAATTGATACCATGGAGTCACCAGAAGCTAGATACCTACAAAAAATGTATTACCTCTCAATGCAAATCCAATGAAAATGATTATCAATTAATTAGCTACCTCAAACATAAGTGTAATCGCAGGCTAGCTGATAGTGGCTTGCGGTGATAGTGAATTTTGGTTATTTCAGGTGCAACTAAGTTCAAAAGTTTATCAAAGGCCTCTGCTGACATTTTGCAAAAATTGAAATATTTTTTGCTATCAGAGAGCCTCATTTCCCTAATTAAAATATTGTGAGCTCCTGAAGTATTTCTTGATGCTTCAGTGAATATTGATCTCACCCACAGTTTTCGAGTAACGATCCTTCTAAAATGTAAGTTAATTTAATCATTTCTTATGTCTCGATATCAAAGCTCACCGTTGGTTGAAGGATTTTTTCTTCTTCCACCAGTATAAAAGTAAGAGCCTAATTATTTTTTCTTTATCTAGAACTTTGCCCATCTCGATAAACAATCTTTTAACAAACAAATATTTGGAATTCATTTTACTTGGTTCTTTGGGATTTTCTCTCCTCGTTTCTATAAAATAAAAGTATTCGTATTATTTCAATATATTTGTAGAGGGACAAATCAGATGATTTGCCCCAAAATGTCACTGCGTTTAACAAATTTTTCTATCAGGGAGTCTAAAAGAAAAATCCAGTAGCTTGTCAGTGACAATTTGTTTGAAAAAATTTTTGAAGGAAAGAAATATAGATATATTGAAAAAATATCGAATTTGTACTTATCTTTGGACGTTTCGGGACCGATTCTGCTCCCGTTCTCAACATGTAAATGCAAATTATTTTTCTTTGAAAGTTGTGCTGCGTATATAGTTTGACACTTTTCAGTGTCATACTGATGTTGGCATATGAATGAGTGATTTTAGTCTACAAATGAGTTACAGGATGTTTTCATTAATTGATCTTGAATCTACCATTTTCATGTTCAGTTTTCAGTAGTGAATACCATGTTCTATCAATATCAACTGAACAGGAAGCAATGCTATTGTCTCCGTTTAGAAGAATGCAAGCGGATTCCTTTATTTTTCTTTTTTGTTTGTTATCTTCCTTTCCTATGATTTTGATATTATTCCACTGTGCCATATGTTGTCCATCTTCAGTGAGGATATGTTCAGTTAGCTTCGATTTATCGATATGTCTTTTCTTGATATTGTACTTGTGTTCTTTTGTCCTTACTGAGAGAGGTCTCTTCGTTTCACCTGTATAATACTTTCCACAAACACAAGGTATACTATAAATACAATTTTTTGATGATTGTTCTTCATTTTTTGGCTTTGTTTGAGTTAGAATGGATCTCATTGTATTTTCAGTTTTGAACACAGTTTTCACTTGGAACTTATCACCAACACGTTTTATTTTTTCAGATATGCCGGGAATGTACGGTATTATATTCGTCGTTATTGATGGTTGTTTTTGTTGTGGTGTATTTTGTTTGTTTTCAATTTGGTGAATCGTTCTATCAATGAAGTTCCTTGGATATGAGTTGAGTTGAAGAACATCTCTGATGTGGTGGATTTCGTTATTGAAAATTTGTTGGTTAGATGATATTGATTTGGCTCGATCATGAAGTGATCTGATTATTCCTTTTTTGATAGCTTTCTGATGATTTGATTGAAAATTGAGGTATCTATTACTATGAGTCTTTTTACGATATACACTTTTTAAGAAAACATTGTTTGATTTTTTGATAAGAACATCTAAAAATGGTAACTGATTGTCAGATTCGATTTCCAAAGTGAACTTTATAGTAGGTTCTGCATTGTTTACATGATCTAGAAAATTATCTAGTTCTATAAGGGTATGTGGCCAAATTATGAAGATGTCATCTACGTATCTCCACCACGTTTTTGGTTGTTTTTCGTAATTTTTAATAACGTTTTCTTCAACTCAACTCATATCCAAGGAACTTCATTGATAGAACGATTCACCAAATTGAAAACAAACAAAATACACCACAACAAAAACAACCATCAATAACGACGAATATAATACCGTACATTGCCGGCATATCTGAAAAAATAAAACGTGTTGGTGATAAGTTCCAAGTGAAAACTGTGTTCAAAACTGAAAATACAATGAGATCCATTCTAACTCAAACAAAGCCAAAAAATGAAGAACAATCATCAAAAAATTGTATTTATAGTATACCTTGTGTTTGTGGAAAGTATTATACAGGTGAAACGAAGAGACCTCTCTCAGTAAGGACAAAAGAACACAAGTACAATATCAAGAAAAGACATATCGATAAATCGAAGCTAACTGAACATATCCTCACTGAAGATGGACAACATATGGCACAGTGGAATAATATCAAAATCATAGGAAAGGAAGATAACAAACAAAAAAGAAAAATAAAGGAATCCGCTTGCATTCTTCTAAACGGAGACAATAGCATTGCTTCCTGTTCAGTTGATATTGATAGAACATGGTATTCACTACTGAAAACTGAACATGAAAATGGTAGATTCAAGATCAATTAATGAAAACATCCTGTAACTCATTTGTAGACTAAAATCACTCATTCATATGCCAACATCAGTATGACACTGAAAAGTGTCAAACTATATACGCAGCACAACTTTCAAAGAAAAATAATTTGCATTTACATGTTGAGAACGGGAGCAGAATCGGTCCCGAAACGTCCAAAGATAAGTACAAATTCGATATTTTTTCAATATATCTATATTTCTTTCCTTCAAAAATTTTTTCAAACAAATTGTCACTGACAAGCTACTGGATTTTTCTTTTAGACTCCCTGATAGAAAAATTTGTTAAACGCAGTGACATTTTGGGGCAAATCATCTGATTTGTCCCTCTACAAATATATTGAAATAATACGAATACTTTTATTTTATAGGAACGAGGAGAGAAAATCCCAAAGAACCAAGTAAAATGAATGTACCACCTCCTCGATTAACCTACAGACAGTATTTGAATATTTGGAAATTATATTTTCTAAACATGACAATTGACATTGCAAATATCAAATATCCCACTGCTAAAATCAAAATCTCCTGTGCTATTCACACAACAGCGTGCTATTGCTGTTATGTGGAACAAGCATAAATCGAAATTCTCCAAATTATCGCCATCTTGAGACATTTCAGCCTAGAAGTTTTTTTGATGTAATACAAGCAATGTTTTTGTCTGTGTCATATTAAGTGTGTGGCTAGCTGTTAGTCAATTTGTAGCATTTTAATACAATTCAAAATATTTTTTCTAGATCCCGGTCACGGAGCAAGGGTGGAAAGACATTTCAAAGAGTTATGAGATGAATTGGCAATTCCCCAATTGTATAGGGTCAGTTGACGGTGAACATATACGGATAGTAGCACCACATAATGGTGGATCATATAATTATAACTACAAGGGCTAGCATAGCATAGCATTGTTTTACTTGCCGTAGTCGACGTTAATTATGAATTTATCTTATGTG